CCCCAGGCCACTCCCGCCCCCAGCCTGCCACCCACACTCCTTGCCACGTCCCACACATGTCTGCGTCAGGAGCCACAGGGTGGAGTCTGGGTCACCACCTCGTCCTCTTCCCAGAGCTTGTGCCTCTCAGGAGATCTGGATTGTGGCCCATGGTGCCAGGACAGCACAGTGCCACCTCCACCAGCCGTGTTCCACCCACCCACCATGCTGGCTGTCAGGTCCCCAGGACACTGTGGCTTGCAGGACCCTAAGGGGGCTTCCACTAATTTTTTTTTTTTTCAGAACCAGGGATTGAACTCAGATCTTTTGCATTTGCCAGTCAAGCGCTTATCCTACTGAGCCATCTCCCCGGCCCCTACTTCCACTAATTTTCTCTGGGGTTGATGCGCAGTGGAGCGGGAAGGGCGCTTAGGCCCCAGAGCTCTGCAACTCCCCTTTCTCCGCCCACAGAATGGAAGTGGCAGCTGAGTTTCATCTCTGGCAGAGCATACCATGGTCTGTGTCCCTGGCCCAGGCAGCCCCCAGTCAGGAGGGACCCCAGCTGCTGCTGATTCTGAACACACCTGGAGGCCCTGAGCCCCTCCTCCCTCGGGTCCCATGCCCATGAGCCCCATGTCCTTCCCTGGGACAAGGACAACCCAAGCTCCCCTTCTCTTACAGTAAACCTCACAGTGGTGGGCCCAGGATGGGACTCCCACTGCCCCCATCAGGGACACACTTTCTGTGGCCTTACTTTTGTGGTATGTGCGTCGCAGTCATTGGCCTGAAAGGCAGGACCCTCCAGAGGCCAGCTGACAACCATACCGTGAAAGCAACCTGCTCAGATCTGTGTCCGTGACAACAACCACATCACATACCCCAGCAGAGAACAGAATCGCCACACAGCCTAATGTGCTCAGCACAGAGCTGCACGATCTCTCAACAATGGGGACCCTGCATGAACCCAGGCTTGGCATGTGGCTCCTGGCCCCCGACCAGCACCCAGCATGGAGCCCAAGCCACAGCCACTGAAGAAAGCATCTCAACGCACAGCGCAGCCCTGTCCCACAGGGATCCGCGGGCCGTGACGAGGTGCCTGCAGGCTGGCGGTGCCCAGAACTGGAGGCCGTGGCTGTGTCCTAACCAGCCCAAATGGCCGCATATTGAAGCGTGGCGCGCGTCAGCCTTCACCACACATGTGGACGCACTCTCGGCCGGAGCATTATTGAAACCAAATCTCACGTGTCAGCACAACTCACTGCAGCTGAAACATTGGCGTGGCCTACGTGTTCATCAGCGAATGCTTGGCTAAAGAAAATGTGGCACTGATACACCATGCAGTACTGCTGTGCCTCGGAGAACGCTAAACTCGAGTTGTCCGTAGGAAAACGGATGCACCTGGAGTCCAAAATGTGACGTGAAATAAATCAGACCCACAGGTTAAATATTGCGGGGTTTCTCTTATTATGAGAACCCAAAGTACAAATTAAGAGTGAAAAGATAAATAATAGAAAGCAGGGAGGTAGCCCTTCCTCCCAGCACCTGGCATAGCTGTGAATCAGTGGATGGTGGTCCCGTCCTGGCTGCCACCCCTGCAGGGCCCTGTGGCTCTGGGGACAAGAACGGGTCCTCCCGTCCTTGCAGCTCCACTGTTCTCCCTCTCGCGCCCACCCTGCTGCTGTGGTGACTGGAGATCTGTCTGCAGTCCAGTGCTCCTGACGGGACGGGTGGGGGGAGCAGGACAGGTGGGGGTGGGGCGCAAGGGTGGAGGGGCTTCCCACACGCACTGAGCTCTCCCTGAGGCTGGGGTGTCTGGTCCCGTGTGCTTCTCCCCCTACTCTTCAGATCACCAGAGGGAAGCTTTACCCACTAAGAAAATGACAGCTCTTCTTGTTTCCCTAGAAAGGCAGCCCAAGGAGGCCGCCTCAGGTCCTGAGACTGCCAAGCTCAGCGTACCCCCTTCTGTTCCTGTCTCCACTGTCCTGCTGCTTTACCCTGCACCACACCTGAGTGCGCTGGCTCTCACACTGAACACCCCTTGGCTTCTCTGTGGACTGCTGGGCTGTGCTCCCTGCGTCCGCATCCTTGGGCTGGCTGCAGTCAGCACTGGGCTGGGGTGGGGTGGGGGGAACCCAGCCTCCCTGTGAGCCTCGGCGCCCTTCTGACCCTGGATGGCAACCAAGCCTACCCAGATGCCTCACCTCTAGGGACGCCCAGCCATGCTTGGGGATCGGTCCCTATAAAACCTGGTTGCCACTGCTCAGGGCGCCCCAGGATCCAGGATGGGGTGATGCTCTGCACTCATAAAAGGGAGTGACAGTGATTGTTGAAGTAATCACCTCAGCAAACATTACTCCTTTTCTAAACTTTGAGTAAAAGTTCGAGTCTGAGGCTGCAAGTGTGAGAGCTTGGGGGGCCCCCGGGGTGAGCCGGCCACAGGAGGCAGGGCCTGTGGGCCTCGGTCGCGCCCTACTCCTGCACACATGCATCTTCTGCCTGTGCACGGCCACCCATGCAGACAGCACCCCGGCCCTCTAGGGCCTTTGCTACTGTCAGGCATCACAGCCTTCCTGGAGTCCAGGTGGCCCAAGCGTCCCATACCCCGAGAACAGCTGGACTCAGGACCAGGTGCGAGCCAAGCTGCCGGCCACCTGCAGAGTACGGCGGGAAGGAAGGGCACCAGGCACACAGAGTGAACTGCCTCTGTGCCCCACTCAGGGGACATGGGCCTGCCCACCCACACACCACAGAAAGCCCGGTTGCCACTATACCTGGAGCTCATGAGAAACACCAGCCCGAGGTGAAAGCCAAGACCCAGCAAGGAAAAATCACAGCAAAAGAGGAAGAGGAGGACGTGTTGGTAGACAGGCTTCCCATTCCCATGGCAGATGGAGTTCAAAGACACCAGGTACACATCCCCCCTCACCACCCCAGCACCAGCGTGCCCACCTCGACACCTCTACGTGGAGCATGATTTCTAAACGCAAACGCACACGTGTTTAAGGATTCATACAGCCAAAGTGTTTTGACTATCTTGGTCTTTGGGAGATAGTCAATGGCATGTGTTTCAGCTGACTCTTCATTCAGAATAAACTTAACCTTGAGGTTTGCCCTGCTGGCGAAAAGGCTGCAGCAGAGTCCTGGTTCTGGGAACAAACCCAGGGAGCCTGTCCAGAGGGTGTGCGGATAGACCCTGTGCCCACTGGGTGCCTCTGCCCTTCACCGTGGGGCACTCTGCTGGGTCACCTTCACCTCGCTGCACCAGGCACCCTGCTGCCAGAAGCCGTCACAGTCTGGCTTTGGACAGCTTTGTCTGTGGGTCCCCTGAGAAATTCCAGCCCCTGGAATCCGGCTGGCTGCTCCGAGGGTCTCCTGCAGGTTTCTGTCAACATGCAACTTGGAGTGGTTTTAAAGTGCACAGGTGACAGAGGAAGTCAGGTGGGGACCTGCTGCCTGCAATCACTTTGATTTCCAGTTATTGCTAAACGCTTGGGGTTCCCTACCCCCCGCATTGTTCTAATTCCCTCCCATTCCAGTTGCTTGTAAAGCTCCACAGAGCAGGCAGGTTGGAGATGCAAGAGCCTACATGCTCTGGGCTCGGGCTGGGGGCGCTGAGCCCCTAAGGAAGCAGGAGAGCGCTCTGGGCCCCACTGCAGAGCCAGCTGCAGGGCGAGGGTCGCCTGGAGCTTCACGACCAGGTAGGAATTGAGCCAGTGTGAGCCAGGTGGGGCCAGGTCACAGCCCCTGCAGGGTCGCCAGACTCACCAAGGTCTCCTCCTCGTCCGCCTGCAGTGCCTGGTACTGGTGGCCCCGGCCCAGGAAGGCAACTTTCTTCAGGAAGCTGAAGCGTCTCTCACCCATGGTGAGCAGCAACCACGGCTCCCTGCGGCCTCGCGTCCTTCCGGTGGCTGGGTGGCTGCCGGTGTGGTTCTCCAGCTCCTATTGAGGCCTTGGCTGGCACACGCCCAGGTGACAGGTGGCCGCCTACCTGCCCGCCCTGTGGCAGGTGAGGCCTCCCCCAGGCAGGGCGCTGGGGGGCGGTACTTCTTGCACCTGACCTGCTCTGTCCTCTGTCCAGCCAGCTGGAGGGAGACTGGGAGCCTTTGGGGACAACAGCAGTAGCCAACAGGAGCTCTGGGAGAGGCTGCACCATTTCAGAGACTAGACTGTTTCCCGAACTTGCCGGATCCTAGGAATCACTTGGCGGTGTTGGGGGAGGAGGCGGAGTCAGCGCTTGCTAAGAAGCTTCCCAGACTTGCCCTGCCTGAGCGCTAGGGTGTGGGTGCTCAGCAAGCTGGGATTGCACCAGGGCTCCAGGAGCCGGGTGCGCTCAGCTCTGACCTGTGGGCTGGGCCAGCGGCCTACTTGTGGCTGGGTGGCTGGAGGCAGGCTTCTCTGGACGTCTTCCTGCCCTGCAACTGAAGCTGGGCAGGGGCCTGAGCCCTCACCTTAGGCCTGGGAATAAAGCCCAGAGTCAGCAGAAGAGTCTGGGGTCCTGGGGTCCTCCCTGCAGAATGGTCTCCATGCTTGCTGGCCGTGGGACTTCTGCCTGCTCTTAGGTTTCCTGAGCCTTGGTTTAGGGCTATCGAGTGGGCAGCTGGACAGGACCTCCTTCCTGGTATCATCGAGGGCCAGTGGGCAGAGTGGCCACTGGGACGGGTTGGGCAGAGACTATGTTCCCATCAGCATCCACTCAGAGCCAGAGAGAGATCCAAAGTGTGGAGGCGGTGGGGGCTGTGGGCAGGAGGGCTCCGGCTGCAGGTTGACAGGAATTCGCCACAAGGACTCCTCAGGAGGAGGACGGCGGTGCCCTTCTGCTGCCCTGAGCACCCTTGTGGCTGAGGGAAGAGATTTACAGGCCACAGGGGAGGGCAAACGGGTGTGTCCTTGCACTGAACTGCTCCCGCCAGCTCCCCAAGGGCCAGCCGCCCCACGCTGCCCAAGCTGGTGGGCAGTTCTTCAACCCTTTGGTCTTCCCTTAGAACCCTGGTGGCAAGCCTACGGCACATGGGCCCTGTGGGCTGTCTCTCCGAACGCTCTATAAGTTTCACCACTGCTGTCCTAGGAGGTCCTGTAACCATGCTGCCTGGCTCGCCGATCCCACGGAGGGAGCCAAGAATGGAGACACAGACTAGTGAAGGTGGGGCTGGGTGTAGGGAGAAGGCAAGGGGCCGGGCGGAGGCCCCAGATGAGCACCTGGAGAAGGTGCTGTTGTGCCGGGCCTGCGGGTAGACACTCAGGAAAGGCAGCTGGATGGGACCAAGAACTTCAGGGCCAGCCAGAGGGCCAGGCAGCCGCCGTGCACTGAAGGCCAGGGAGCCACTGTGCACTGAGCTCGGAGGCTGAGCTAGAGCTTGTGCAGTGGGTGCAGGTTGGATCTGGGGAGGACACAGCACCATGCAGCGCCTCACACACCTCAAGGGCAGGTAGCAGGGACCCCTCTCCACCTGGGTGCCCAGTGCTGGCCGCCACAAGAGCTGGCCACGCTGTGGTCTCACAACCCCACCTCTAGAATCTGGTTACTGTGGCCCCTGCGTCAGTCCACAGTTGTCACAACTGGGAGTCAGGAACTGGCAGAAGGGGCCAGGGCATTCAGAGGGACAGGCAACTCCCAATCCTTGGGTGGAAAACAAGCCACACGAGAGCGGTCCCCAGAGAGAGAAGTTAGAGACCAGCTTTGGGATCGGAAGCTTTTGGATGGGCACCTTTGGGTGTCAGCCAGTTTCAAGTTTTGTTTCGCGCGGTGATTAGAAAATGTGGCTGGTGTGCACATCTGCCAAGATGCCTCAAGTCGCTGAGCCTTTGTGACCGGCGTGTACAGCATTTTCATGAGTATTTCAGTAGCACTAGAAAAGCCCGTGTGTTCTTGGTAAACAAATTCTCCATTCGAACCTTCTGCTTGCACAGTGAGGTGCTTATTTGCTTGTCACTGCTGGATCCGACACAGCAAGTCACTTTCTGTCCACTTTTTCTCGCGCGTCTGGAACATTTCTTCCTGTGTTACACAGCTCACGCCTCACTGTATTCACCTGGCTTCTCTCCACCCCACGCTGGCGTGTTCCACTGCCTCCGAGGCCAGCACTCTTGAGTGGCTCTCATCTTTGATTATTCCACATGCCCCCAGTTATACGTGCCATCTGCATTTGTTTGGAGAGAGAGAGGGAGGGAGTTTGGGCTGGGGATTGAATCCAGGCTCGTGGGCATGCAGGGGAAGAGCTCCCCGAGGCACATCCCAGCCTTGTTTTTAGCGTCTTCAGTGTCCATGTCACTGTTTGGATCCCACAGTCATCACCACCGACTGCAAGATGTTTTGTTTTCACTTACTGAGATTTCTGTTTGTTTTTCTGCCTGCAGCCTGGAGAATCGAGGAGCCCACTCTCAGGGAACCTCACAGCACGGCGCTGGCTGCGAGCCTCAAGCCTCGCCGAGGGCTGCGGCTCTGCGGATGACCTTGATGCAGGGGCTGGGAAGGAACGTCGAGGGTGGGACCCGGCCAGAAGCTTCCAGCCTTTCTGGAAACATCTGTGCCTGGAAGAGTGAATGCGGTCCTGCGGGCACCTCCTTTCCACTCTCTCATTTCATCACCTGTACATTACCTCCCGACGGTGCCGGCTCCCAGGCTCCCGGGGCGTGTTTGGTGATAACCTCTCGCAGAAGTGTGGCTCTGAAGGTGCCCTGTTCAGAAAGAGAGCTCGGTGCAGGGTGTAGCCCAGACTCTTGTAAATGTTTAGGAATCAGCGTGAGGGTATGACCTCTACCATCAGTCCTCAATTGTCTGTTAATAGCTGTGTACGTGGGACTTCTCCAGTCATTTTATAGATGCAGAAATTACACACAGGAGGTAAAACCGATCCATTCATCCGACAAATACTTTTAAAGCCCCCGCATGTGGAGACAGAGCTGTGAAGAGATGTGTCCTGCCCTCAGTGTCTGGTCTCCTTCGGAGAGGGACAGGCTGTAACAAGTCCAGGCATGACACAATTCCAGGCAGCCAGAATACAGCTGAGGAATGTCCCCACCCTGGCCCATGAAGACACACACTGTCCTAACCCCTGCACAGGGTATTTGGAACAGGGCCCTCACAGAAGGCATTATGTTAAGGGTCTCCGCGTGAAGCCATGCTGGATTAGGGGCACTGTCTGGATTCCAGGGATGGGGTCCTGCAGGACAGAGAAGAGGAACAGTTGATGACGGGGGACACAGGCAGGAGCTGAGGAAGGGGGAGGCAGAGAGGGAGGCCTCTGTGGGCAGAGGTGGCCCAGCCACACACCCCATACTCCCAGCTCAGGTGGAACTGGAGTGGCTGAGTCTCCTGATCCCTGGGACCAAGTGAATGTCCCTGTGGCTCCTCAGACGCTGGTGGCACTTTAACAGAGCACTAGTGTCAAAGAAGGCACTGTGTACCAAAGCCTGGTGTCCCTTGGCAGACAGAGAGACAGAGAGAGAGACAGAGAGACAGAGAGACAGAGAGAGACAGACAGACAGACCGACTGAGCAACTGACCATGGTCTGTTTATGGGGAGGACTGCCCCAGCCTCTGACGGCACGGAGGCACCACCCCACAGCCCAGCGCCAACTAGCTCTGGAGGGGTCACACGAGGAGAGACAGTTGCGGTGCCCCTTGGGGCCCTGGTTCCCACTCCAGGAAGTGTCCTGTGTGAGCAAGTCCAGAGTGGGACAGATCCGGGGCTGCCCAGGGCTGGTGGCAGGGTGGGAGCATGGGACTCCTGTCTTTATGTATTTAGTACAGGGCCTCATGCAGCTCAGACTTGTGGTGATCCTCCTGTCTCAGCCTCCCCAGTGCTGGGATTACAGGCGCGCATCACCACGCCTGGACTCGGTGGCCAGCTCAGTGTGCCCCGGGGCAGGGCCGGCATGGCATGTGGTGCCGGGGATTGAACCCCGGTCCCTGTGCTTGCCTAAGCAGGCGCTTAGTCCGCTGAACTATTTGCTGGCCTGGGACTCCTGTCTTGAGCACTCCAGGTGAGAAGAATGTTCTGGAACTACCCAGTGCTCATGCCGGCGCCATCTTGTGAATGCACTAAGCTCACCAAGTGGCTTTGGGCGAGAAGGTCCATTTTTGTTAGTGCATGTTAGTCCATAATGACTGCATTCGTTGTGACTTGGGGCAAGAACATGCATCTCATTTTTTTCCTTGTTCCGCTCCACATCCTCCTAACTTTTTTTTTTTGCCAGCATCAGATTCATTTATTTTATAAATCCTTGTCAAGTTAATTATAGTAAACACAGATTAATGGCCAGATGGACCAAAACCACATAGAACATATAAGACAATTTGACTAAATCAAGTTGTACTTTTAGATGCACTGACCCTGCAGGATTAAATTCACTTTTTCCTTTTTTGTTTCCCACTTGTCTTTTTCACTGTATTTATATTGAGTTTCTCAGCTAAGAGAAGCCATGTGGTAGGTAAGCTTGTGTGTTTGGTTTAATTTCACTTAATGTTATGGTTCCAGGCTGGATCCACTTTCCTGCAAATGACTCAAGCTAATCCTTCTTTATGGCAGAGTAGTATTCCACCATGTGTAAAAGCCTCACTTACTATATACACCCACCTGCTAGCTCCTCCCCGGGTTTAGCTACCATGAACGTGCTGTGGTAAACAGGGGTGTGCGTGAACCCTGTGAGGTCTTTAGCTCTTGGGGAAATACCTGAAGGGGCACAGAGGGGCCACGAGGACCTTCTAGTTTTGGTGTTTTGAGGAACTGCATACTGATTTCCATAATGGTTGAGTCAGTTTACACTACAAAGGTCAGTGCTTTATCTCCACAGAAATGGTTGAACAGTAGGCACTGAATGTGTGTGTGTTGAATGGAAAATGCACGAGAGAATGAGATGGAAGACTCAGCCAGGCCTGGACAGAGGGCAGCCCCTGGCTC